CGGTAAACGTTAGTGAAGGTTGGTTACAACCGTTGGGCCGACGTTGGTTAGAGGTTGTAATATTAGATGTAATTAAAGACGTTGTCGCAACGTCATAGTACCTGTCTCTTATACACATCTAGATGTGTATAAGAGACAGCATATATATGTATATATAAGTCGTTGAAACAAAAAATTATGACAACAAGGCATGTAGACTGTAGAACACTTATATATATAGTAAAAAGGCATGTGCCTACCTTGAAGTAGAAGATAATGTAAATATGGATTGCAACTTAAAATTTGAAACAACGCGATCTCACGCAGGCCATTAAATAGTATAATATGTGTACTAAACACGCTCACGATTCAATATTGATACGTAGGCATATTACTAGTCAAAACAGCAGAATGGTTCATTAGTTAGTTACCGGTACATCAAACGAAACCTGCATCCAACCTGGGTGGCGTGTGTTTTGCTTTCGGTTTAAATCTGTTTTCAATAGGTGGCGCAATTCTTCACTACAACATACTACCCTACCGTGCCCAAAATTCGGCATTGGCCCAGCTAGCAAAGCGACGTTGGTCCAACATTGGCAAGCGTCGGGGTCGGATATCTGACGTGGGTACGACGTTGGTGTTTGGTTGCAAAATTTGGTCGGAGAGGTAACGTCACACCAACATTGGAATTTCACGTTGGCCCAAAGTATGAATATATTTGTCGATTTTCCGATGTCGTCCCAACGTTGGTAAGCCGTTGTAAATATTCAGTCTGACTACGGACGTTGGTACAACGTCACGATTTGTTACTGGCCCGACGTCGGCAAACTACTAAACAGATGGTTGGGTACTACCGTTGGCCCAACGTTGGCTAGAGGTTGTAAATATTAGATGTGATTGTAGACGTTGTCTCAACGTCACAGTATGTTGTTGGCCCGACGTCGGTAAACGTTTGAAATGGTGGTTGGTTAAAACCGTTGGCCCGACGTTGGTTAGAGGTTGTAAATATTAGGATGTGATAACAGACGTTGTGGCATCGTCAGAGTACTTTGTTGGCCCGACGTCGGTAAACGTTAGTGAAGGTTGGTTACAACCGTTGGGGCGACGTTGGTTAGAGGTTGTAAATGTTGGATGTAATAAAGACGTTGTCGCAACGTCATAGTACTTTGTTGGCCCGACGTCGGTAAACGTTTGAAATAGACGTTGGTTACCACCGTAGGGCCGACGTTGGCCAGAGGTTGTAAATATTAAATGTGATTACAGACCTTGTCTCAACGTCACAGAACGCTGTTGGCCCGACGTCGGTAAACGTTTGAAATGGAGGTTGTTTACAACTGTTGGTCCGACGTTGGTAAAAGGTTGTAATAAATATTAGGATGTGATTATGGACGTTGTCCCAACGTCACGGTACTTTGTTGGCTTGACGTCGGTAAACCTTAGTGGAGGTTGGTGACAAAAGTTGGGCCGACGTTGGTTAGAGGTTGTAAATTTCAAACGTTTACCGACGTCGGACTAAAAAAAAAAAAAAGGACAAAAAAAAAAAAAAAAAAAAAAAAAATGGTTCGAATCGAACACACAACCACCAGGTTTTGCTATTCATTATTCACCATTAACTAAACTGCCTTAAAAATGGTTTGTGTGAGAATAGCACACACAACCTCCAGGTTTGCTATTCATTGCCACCATCAACTAAACTGCCTTAAAAAAAAAAAAAAAAAAAAAAATGGTTCGTGTGGGAATTGAACACAACCACCAGGTTTTCCGTAACATGATTAGTTTATTTTTTTTTCTAATTTGCATAATGAATTTTTCAAACTTTTTTGTCTATTTAAAAAAAAGTGCGTAAGTTATGGAGATGGTAACAATCAAAAATCGATTATAAATTTAATTCTACACTTTTAGACAAAAAAAAAAAACCCTCTTGGCCCATGCGTAATATTAACCTGCAGTGTATATATACGAAGAATTTTTTCTAGTAGAATCAGAGTTGACTAACTGGTACTTGGTGGGGTACTAGGTTTATCGCATTTAAGGCTTAGGGGCCGCGGTTTACCTCCCTCCGCTTAGTTATGCTGGATCAGGAATAGTAGACTCGGCGATCGTGGGTTCGATTCCCACACGGGGCAAGTTTTTTTTTTTAAATTTTTTTTATTTATTTTTATATTTTTATTTTTTCTTTTGAAGGTCGTGGGTTCGATTCCCACACGAGACAGTTTCTTTTTTTTTTTAAGGCAGTCTAGTTGATGGTGGATAATGAATAGCAAACATGGAGGTTGTGTGTTCGATTCCCACACGAACCAATTTTTTTTCCCTTTAAGGCAGTTTAGTTGATGGTGGATAATGGATATATTGTACTCGTTGATGACGTCGCGAAATAACAACAAACAACAACGTGTCATGTCCGAGCCCAGGCCGTCATGGAAGCTCACTGGCTCCTGTGTAATTCATGTTGAGCCAACTGCAGACGAAATGTTACAATCTTTTCAGAGATAAGCTGGAAGAAAGTTTTGGAAGGATTTTAATACTGAGGAATGGAAGTTAGCGAAGTCCTTGGCTTGCTTAACCGTTTTTCTTCGATCGTCGTTTCCAACCGTCTAGGCGCGTCTAGCCTAAAGAGTGCCTACATAGCAGTGGGTTACCCACATCTTTATATTTGCACAAGTAATTAAAATTGTTTATTGAGCAGATTAATCACACTGATAAACAATTGTACTACATTTGCACCGGATCTCATTGTAAACGTGTATACACATAACATAATAATATACATATTGCCGTACGTGCCTCTGGACCTCCTTTGAAGGGTTCTGGGCTCTCCCTGGCGCGGCCCATTTGTCCTCCGTAGAAAAATATTATTATTTTTTTTTTGTGATATACGGGTAAATTAGTAATTAAACGATTTCAAGTTAATGGCTGACAAAACTAATAGAAATAATTGTAAATAATAATAATTAATAATAATAAGTAATAATAAAATTACTGTATTGATAAAAATATCAGTAATAATATCATTATAATAACATAACTATCAATAATAATGATAAAGATATTAATTTAATAATAATTTTGTTTCAAATTGTTCTCAATTTCATGCTATTTTTGCGACATCTCTTTTTATCTTTTTTATCAAGTTTATGAAGTTTCCGTGATTTGTATGTTGATTTTGACCGAATAAATGAATGAATGAAAAAATGTTTATTAGCCCTATCTCAAATTTTAAATACATGGCTTTAAATGTATAATAAAGAAAATGTTAATGAAGAACTAAAATCATGCTATCGACGATGACGTTGATGAAGAACATCGTGATGATGATGATGTTGATGACTTTGATTGAGGATAAAACAGTACTTTATCATATTGACCATTAAATTACAAATGAGAAAAAATTAGCCAGTGATAACACTAGATTGAAATAGTAAAAACAAGGAAAACCAAACATTTTATTATTTTCAATAATACAATATATTAAGTTTTTTCTATTGTTTACAAAATATGATGGCCTCTTTCTGATGTTTTTTTCATAAATTACACCTCCTATCGAATGCTTGCATTTATTAATAATAGAACGATGCTAATATTCAGACAGTTATCGGGAGACAGTGCATATTAAATAGCTATAGCGAAGCAATGATTCATTAAAAGGTAGGCTCTGGTTATTTATTGATTTGTGTAAATAGACCTAATTCAATGGATTAGGTTCTAGTGTCACAATGCTTATCAATACTGGTAATATCTATCACGTTTTGGCAGTTCATCTATATGCAGATAACAGGGGCTGTAATTACAATAGCTTGGTCCTCATTGTTTTACCCGCCGCGCTCTATCTCGTTCCAGGCAATAAATTCAACGGAATGGCATTTTACTGTTGATAAATACATATTTCGCTTTTATTTATGCAAAACAGCTCCGAGCAACAAGTAATTTATGTGGGTAGGATATGTCTGTGTATTACGGATCGTGATTTTCCACATGCAAACCTCATAGGCAGTAAACGTATCTACAGACACAATAATTCGAGTAAAAGATGACAAATGCTTGCTAAGAAATGACAGACCGCTCAGAAACGTAAACCAATCTTTCTAAGTGAAGTTCAACCACATACGCTGGAAAAAAATGTATGTATTATTTATTTAGATAATGATTACCTGGGCCTTAAAAATAATATATATATTGTTTACAGTAGGCTTACATATATGCATTGTTATTGCAGTAGGCCTACGGAAACTTCCAGGTTTTGTTAAGATATGCCTATTTTGGTAATTTAGTTTATGATGTTTTCATTATGTTTAAACATTATTTTAATATTGAAATACAGCACTGCGTCCGTGAGATTGGCACGTCCTACGGATGATTAATGCTCAAGCCGGAGTTATTGTACAGGTCTATTTCGATAATGTGGGAGGCCTTGTAAAATTCTGTATTCGGTATTGCGCCATGAATTTAGTATAGTAATGAATTCATGTTAAGTCTAATTCAAGAATTAAGTGCCTGTACCGAATTTCGTGATGTAGGGATATAGATATCTTTTTAAAATATTCAGCATATATGATGATCGCTACATGCCGTTAGGACTTTTTATTTCATGGTATTCATCCAATATGACAGCGAAGAATAATGTAAAACTATTTACATCTACTGTAAAAACTAATTTTGCTTAATTTAATAAGGTACTATTATCTAAGTTTTCTTTGCTTAATAGTCCGAACGAATCCGGACTACTGATACTGGTTTAATTCAAACTACACAGAAGAATTCTCTCCTGTGTTGGCCATGATGTGGTGCGACTCGTACTAGGCCAATGACCTAAGCACAACTAATGTACGATCACATCTCTTTTGCTATCACACGTCTTCGTCATTTACAGATGATTATTATTACATATCATTCTTATTCTAGGGGTTATTTACAACATTTTATAATTATTGTTTTCATAATGACAACTTCTAGTTTTTGCCCTCTCAAATTTCGCACATTTGGCACATTAAAATTTCAGATAGCGTGACAATAATCCTATTTCGGTAGTGGAGAAAGCAATAATAATTTATAATCAGCAATCAAAACCAACATTCATAATGTAAGCTTGTTATGACTCAGGCAATGTGCTCAAAATACTGTGACCCAGTTAAAGCTACCATAGATTATATGGAAATAGTTTTTGAGTGGAAATTCATAATCGGAACCTATAATTAAAACTGTTAAGACAAATTTCAATTTATCGTGTGAATATTCATCGTGTTGACACCCGTCGTGTGGAAAGCGTATTTATAACAGAAATATTGAAAAGTGCAAAGGTACAATGTCGCTTTATATAATAACTCCTTATTAGGTCTATATAAACCAAATCATACATACACTAACATAATAATTAATAAAACCTATGATATTATAACAATTATTAACATAAGTAATAATTATGATGACAAGAATACATGGTTTTTTCATTTTCAAGATTATTTATCAATCTCATGCGTTTCAGACAGTGTGCACTAACATCTGTTTGTCTATACATACATAATATAGGCCTACATGTATTTATATATTTAGAATCTTTTAGTGTAAAAACATTTGTCCCAAAACTATAGGAATGTAACGTTGAAAATTTATGTATAACTGTATCCTAATAAATGTATATATATATATATATATGTATATATATATATATATATATGTATACATATATATATATATATATGTATATGTATATGTATATATATATGTATATGTATATA